ATAAAAGATAGTGAACCACAAAAATTCTTGTACTTCCTTTATTTCCTGGACCATCACTAAAAATCACTCCAACGCTATTGGCTGTATTTTTATTTTAAATAAACTTAGAACAGCTACTATTTAGTACTGATCAACATCTGTTCTAAATTGTAGCATCTCATTTAATATGGGGACAAGAGAAGAAGAGAATGTAGAAACCCAAGTTGCAGCAGATCTGCCCTTGTGACATGGTATGTACATACTAAGGAGATTAGAACAAGTCACAGACCAGAGATTCCATCCAAGTCCAGTCATATCAGAACTTAGCATTAAGTCTCTCCAAGAAGGAAACGTACTAAAAAGTGCTCTCATCACTGTGCCAAAGGATTAACAATAAATGCAACTGCAGAGGAACTAGCAATCCTAACAACCAGATGCAAAGGCAGTGTCAAATGAATCCCCTGAAACAATGTTGTGATACTCAATATGTTGTTGTGACACTGAACTGCAATGTCAGTGTTTCTTTTTCAGGATAATGCTGGAACAGCAGCACTAAATACTTCTCCTGATTTCTTATATTGCAGTTGAGAGGGAATTAGGAACAGCATCAAAATGTCTTAACACAAGACTAAGAAGGCTGTGCAAAAGGCCTCTTTCAAATGAACCAATACAAGACACCAAGAATCCTTGAAACCAAGAAAGGTCACAGCCCAAAAAAGAAAATGACCTTCTTAAATTAGGTCCAGAAGGGCATGGAATTTGAACTGCCTATTATTTTACAGATATGAGGCATTTGGGCCTTACACAACTCAGTGATCAAGCAAAAATAAGTCCCCTCCTCCATCAAAGAAAAAAAGCACAAGGAGCTTATCTGTCATTCTCAACTGCAGTGATTAGACCTTTCAGTTGTAATCTAAGGGTTTTTAAATGAAAAACTAGTATCAATATCTTCATCTTATTTTTATGCTACTTTGGAAAGTCTTGGCCTTTATGTGTACCGACATGCATAAAAAGGCACCCAAAGAAACTCAGCAGTAGCGTCCCCTCCTTGTCTGGCAGATAGTTTTAAAAAAAATCTCTACAACAAGTAAAATAAATGATGGAACAGCAGCAGTTAGGACCCATACATTTTTTTAAATAATCTGAAATACAAATTATAGAAGTATGTTGCCATGTGACCAGGCACCTGTAGCCCCAGTGGGCACTGTTTTCCCAGACAAGTTCTGAAGCTCATTACTGCCAGGGATAATGCACCACTTAAGTGCGACTGCAAAGGCCATCTCAAAGAATACAAAATTTGCTGAGAGTTTGTTCACTGCTCAGTGGCAGATTGAAGTTTACTTTGAAACAGTCATATTAGCTCTGCAACAGATTTTGAAGCTTCCAACATCTGTACAGTTTGATGTGGAAAGCTTTTCACCAGAACGAGTCAGAATTAGTCCTTATTTTCCAAAAATAGTCTTTTGCTCTTCATCTCCCCCATCTGTTTGAAAACAAGAATATCTAAAAAGAAGCTTCATACAAATTATTAATATGCAAGTGCATTTAGTAAGAATACTTTGGTAAAAATTAGTCTAATTTGCCAAAAGGTGGTTAATTCAAAAAATAGAACTGTAACCCTCAGTTGAATGATACCATTTCATTTGGGATAATGCCAAATCAATCTGTTACAATCAACTGGGAAAGTATGGATTTTAGAGTGATAGCTCTACTTAGTAAACTCAAAATAAGGCCATTTACTGAGAGTTGAAGCAACTATTGTTCCAGTCTCAAGCTTTCAGTCACACATGTACAGAGTTATTCTCCTCATCACTGAATTCCAAATGCCCCTATTTTATTACTACAGAACATTCCAGCATCTACAAATGGAAAAGATCTAGCTGACAATGAAGCTCAGAACCTAGCATGTTCATGGGAAGAAGAAAATGCTTTAAAAGAAAATACTGACCACTCCAAGAGTCTCTCTCCTCTCTGTCCCCTCATTGATCCAGAAGACCTCCCATGCTCCCTTAAATTCTCATCAATTCTGGCCCTGTAAATAGCAGCAGCCACCATAGAAGGTCTAACTAACTCCAGCTGGCTAAAACACATTCTATCTTTGCCAATTTGGCAACTTGATTGCATGCAGAAAACAAAATGTTACTAATGACTGCTAATTCAGATTTGCCTTTTCTGACAATTTTTCATATACATGTTTTTCACGATATTAACGATTACCTACAATAGCTGTTTCGTTTGTTACGCTGTTCGTATTACTGAAGTGCCTAGGAATCCTAGTCATGAACCAGAACCAATTGTGCAGGACTTTGTACAAAAACAGAAAAAGAATGACCGTCTGTCTCAAATAGCTTCTATAGAAAGACAAAACAGAAACAGACAGGAGATACAATGAGACAGTATCAACCAGCATTTTAAAGTAGTCACAGTGTGAATTCTTTTCCAGGCACTACAACAAAAGAGTTTTAAGGAAGGATGTGAAGGCAAACAAAGATATAGGCTTTACAGAGGCATTTACAAATGGCTCTTTTCAAGCATGAGGAACAGGCTGTTTGCAATTCTAGTGTCCCTTTGTTTTCTCACAAGTAGATGATGAAAATTACTATCATGGGCTAATCTGCAGTAGGAATGCTCAATATTTTGATAATGAACAAGAGATGATATAGGATTTGCATAGGTTGCAAAAGGCTTTGAAAGCAAAAGTATTATGTTGATGCAATAGAGACGGGGAGAACAGTGGAGGAATACAAAAAGAAGGGTGTCAAAGTGGCAAGCTAAGACTTTTTTTTTTTTTTTTTTTTTGCAGTAGCACTGATGAACGAGTGGGGCAAGACTACATTTGTGAAGGGGAGGGAGAAGTGTGGGAGATGAAAGCTGGGACAAGTGTGTTTCTACTGTACAGAAAACATCACATCATGGGGAAGTTAAATGAAATTGACATAACTTGTATAGAAGAACATGAAGAAGCCAGAGTTGAAATGGACACCTAGTTTATGGACTTTAGTGACAGGTAGCATGGTGATTCTGTCCCCAGTGAAGGACAAAGGAAGTAGTGGAGAGTCCCTCACAAAAAAGGTTAAGACCTCTTTTAGCAACACTGAGCTTTAATACTGGCTAGTTATGGAAAGCGTATCAGAGAAGTGGTCTGAAATTTTTATCTTCAACAGAAGGTTGCATGCCTGGAGTAGAGGAATGAGATGTAGTCAAATTTGTATTTATGATGCGATTACCCAAAAGATAAAAAGTATAGAGAAAGAAAAGGGAACAAAAACAGAGCTCTACAACTCCTTTACAGAAAGCTGAAGATATATTGAGAAGTTTCACCATAGAAACAACTTAAAAATTACAAAGAAAACCAGGAGATCAGTGTCATAGAAGCCAACAGAGAATAATTTCAAGATAAACATGGTTGACAAGTCAGGGAGGATGCAAATAGAGTACTGGTTCTTCAGTCTGCTTTTGACAAGAGCAGTTTTAATAGAATGCAAGGGGCAGAAGATAACAGAGGGTCTGTGGTGGATTTGCTAGGAAAAGCTGCAGATGTTTTCACAGCATTGTACCGATTTGTACAGTATGTGTTTACCAAGCTATGGTAAAGACATGGGCAGTTTTAGCTATAGAACATATACTTTAAGGAGCTCCTGATAGTATGTAGAGGTAGCTTAGCAACCATCCTATTTGTGGAAGTCTAAATTTGATAACCTGAATTATGATATTCAGGGTGGTACTGCATAAGAACTAAATTAATCAGTTTAGAAATGGGATTTTCTGTACATTGCAAAGAAACACAATTAGACAACTTATCTATAGACTACAAAGTATGATGACTAAAACAGGACACTTCAGAGTACTGCCAGAAAGTAAGGGAGGAGAAAGCTGAGGGGACAGAACTCAGTTTTGAAAGGGAGAAAATGGTCTCTGAAAGGGAAAGATTATAGGTATGTCATATGTAAAAATACTTCATCAATACCATCGCTATGCAGAAAACATAATTCTTAAATCAAACAAACACATATAGTATTACACATATGCTTCTCAGGTTAGGATGCATCGCATGAAGCCAGACTATTTGTCCATCAAGTCCAAAAACCTGGTAATCTTCCCCAAATAATGTCCTTCTATCTTTATAATATCTACATCTGTTTTTGGAAATATTTTAAAAACAAATTTGCTCTCTATTTTTTGCAGACATTACTATTGTTGCTTCAATCCTGAGCGATATCTAAACAAGAATGTAGCTACTGTCACATTTAACCAGATTAAAAAGATAGTTGAGTTGGAGCTCAACTGCCATTTATTATTAAATAAAATGGATTAACTCATCCATTCATGCTACATTAGTTTCTTATGTACCACTTCATTTGATAAAACAGATTCACTCCTCCAACACAAGCAATCAATATTTCCCAGCACACACCTTACAAATAAACAAATACTTCCACCCCCACCATTTGTGGTCCAATTCAAGCTCACAAGATTAGTTTTAAACTTCTTTGTAAGTCTAATGTAAATAATAAGCAGGCTAAAGGGGCCATTGCCTATTATTGTAGCATAACTAAGGAATTTAAAAACCAATACATTTTTTATTGGAAAGATAAAAAGTTAACTTCTGAACTCTACCTCAGTTTTAATTTTGAGAAAGCAAGTAGTTAAAGATTTAACTATGATATTCTACAAAACAAAAGAGAAAAAGCCTCAATAAAACTAATGATTAGTTAGTATTGGAACTTCATTGCCATTAGTGCATAATAACATAATTCCCATAATTCCCATGGGTAATAACATACCCATTTAGACTTCATCAGTTTAAGGTATGAAGCCATGATTTGTTCTGGTGAGCAAACAGAATTTTAAAATATTTAGCATTTTGTTTACTATCAGAAAGTTTATAGCAGTTATCAAAAAGCCGATTTGTTTAAACACCAAGCAAGCATGGACATATGAATATTCCTAACCTGTAAAATGATTCCTCCACATTATATCAGCGAAACTCATTGGTGGGCCACTGGGAGGGTAGTGTTTACCTTTCAGAGGCTCATGATCAGTCCTTATCATATCCATTAAGGAATTTTCCAAAGAGTGCAAGTTAAAAGTGTCATAGGGCCTATTCCGGTCCTAGAAGGAAGAAAAACAGGGGAAAAAAAAAGGAAAGACTTAATCATCTCCTAACATAAGCACACTTCTCATTGTATTATTTCACCATGATTTTTACATTCCTTGATGTCACTTTTTAATATGTATAATAAAATTAGGATAGATTCTTATTTCAGTTTACTATTGTTAAACAGAGAGCTGGTGCAACTGCTATAAGGTAAGAGAAATAAACTATCAGTATAAGTATGGAGAGATTTTTACTATCCCTCTCTAAACAGAGGGGCGAGTTATTCTTAAAAAAAATAAAATCACACACACAACACTTAACTAGGACTTAGAAACAAAACTCCGTTTAGGATGTGACAGATTAGATGGTCTGGAAGAGTACATTTGAAGTCTGGACCATGACATACGTGTACAGATACCTCCGATGACTCTTAAGCTAGTTCGGACATCGTAAATAGTGTAAATACTTAACCAGAGCACTCCACCCAGAGTGATTATTACCCCTACTGAGAAGCAGGGTATATCAGTTCAAGCATGATGCTGTGCTAATTCAATGTTACTCCTTTCAGTCCCCAAACTTGCTCATTATGTTGCATAGGTATAACCACAAAACTTAGAGATAGTATCTTTGTTTACAGCTGCTTCCTCCGTTCCCAGACAGGCTGTTACTCTAAGGCTGGAAACAGGTCTTTGCTGGAGTGCAATCAGCTGTACTGCAATACAGCACAGCCGTGCTTTTGGGACATCTCTGGATGTCTCCAGTTGCCATGCCTCAGCTGGGGGTGTATCTGCAAGCAAAAACCCCTATTTGCAGATGTGACCCATGTAGGAAAACCACAGAAATGCCCTGCAGGGAATTTCCCCACAGGCATCATCTGCAAGTGGGTTTCCCCCCCACTTGCAAGTATTCCCAGAGAGGAATCCCCTCAAGAGGGGATTTCCCCAAACATGCCTGTAAGGACAAAGGGAGGAACTCACACAGGGGTCCCCTGTACCCCACATTTGCAGGCATGCACAGGGAAATCCCTCTGCACACCTACAACACAGAGGGGAAGGAACCTTTTTAGGAATTCAGCCCACTTCCATGCTTGCAAGGAAATCCTCTACAGAGGGAGGACCGACCCTGCACAGGGTGTGTATCTGCAAGTGGGGATCCCCTGTTTTTCCTTGCTTATCCTCTGGGGATACTCTAGGTAAGCATGGACAAGCAAGGCAGGGACTCCTGTGGCTGGAGCGGGGGTGATCCTTTCAGGAATTCCCAGCATGTGCAGGACTGGACCCCTAAAGCCCAAAGAGTTCCTGCCCCAGGGAGGTTAGAGAACCTTGGCAGCCTCATACTGCCTGAGCTTTTCCACCATAAGCAAAACATGTGAGCCACAATAAAAGTGGCCCGATTTAATACTACCTTCTGTCTAAGCCACAAATATGAGCATCTGTGGCACAACAGAAGGTAGGGACATCTGTTTGCTTTCATTTTTTTTTTTTATGGCAGCACAAAGTTGACTTCTGCTTCTACTCTTAAGTAAAAGAGAAGTAGATTAGAGTTCAGGTAGTCAGCAGGCAGTCTCCCAGGAGGGCACTATGGCTCCCCATAAAATGGTAGAGCCTCTCACAACATAAGGAGATGTGCAGTGTAGTGTGCAAGGCAGAGCAAAAAGCAGGCAAGAATAACTTACAGGCTTTAGTACTCCCAGCTCTAAGAAAATTAAAAACACTTACATTTGGCAAAAATATATCTGAGGGTTTTTTCGTTTTTGGTTTTTTTGTTCAGATCTCATTATTGTTAAGCCTAAATCAGCTTGAGATTCTTTGTACAGACCTTCACTTTTTGGGGATTTTTTTTCCATCTTTACAAATTAAAAAACACAAATTAAAATGCTTTTCTTTTATGAAATCTGGTAATAAGTGACCAGTTTTACTTTCAACACCTTAAACACATATTTCTATCCTTAGCAAAAATTTGTCTATAAATTATGCTTTAAAACTGAAAGCTTATGCCAAGGACAACAGATGCTTGAGATTTAATTTTGCAGAATAACATAGGATTACAGAATTTAGAGAGGACAGCATCATTTACTTACCCCACCATTTTAGATACCCACTGGAATTAAACAAGAAAAAGTACTTGGGGGTTGGGAAGGAAGGAGGGGAAAGTCAGAAGTTGCTGAAAATATTGCTTTATTACAAATACTGGAGAGAATCTAAGAGGTAAAAAAACCCTATGAGATTTTAGATAGACAATTCTATTCTCTTTAAAAATGCACATTTTTATGCAATAAACACTTAATGCATGCTTAGAAAAAATAGGGGAAATAGGATTAAAGTCTTAGAATATTTGAAACCATGGAAGAACTGACTATGTAAAAAAAGTTAATAGGACTAAACTAAGCAAAAACAGGCTGAGGAAAAAGGAAGAAGGGTCAAATAAATTATGGAACTATTGAATAATTATAGAATATTCTTATGGAAATGCTAGAATTTCTGCTGCAAATATTATTGAAACTTCACAGCTAGACAAAGCATGCGACAATTTAGCAACAACAATCCAGTCATAGAATGGATAACCTAATAAGTTCTCTCCATTTCTAAATTCTAGAGTTAATTTAATTTAATGCATCAGATACCTCATTCTAGTTAGAAAGTGTTTTACAAACTCAAAATTCATACACTAGTCAAGTTTGTTCAAAACATTATTAACAAACAGGGAAGCAGCAGTGGGCGAGAGAAGATATATCATTAATTTTTTCTCCTAGTGTGCCATGCACTACATTGATTTCAACTACAGAAAATAAAAGTTGCCACACTCCACTGTGTAGACTATAAACAGTGTCTGGTTTATACTCAAAGCTACAAAGTCTAAATTCCCTTCCAAGCTCTGTCACTTCCAAACCATCAGATAGGCAAGAACTTAAGTACAAAAGCTTTACCAAAAAGTAGCCACAGCATCTGTAAAAACTATTTTTATTACAACTGCTTTGAACTTTTGCGAGGGATATAAATCTAATAAATAAATATTTAAAGCAAGTTTGCCTAAACATATGAAGAAAATATTCCTCTAACAAATAGTCTTCCATTCTCACAAACTGGTTAAGAAAACAGAAGACATTGAATTAAAAGATATAATGCTTATGATTTTGTTCAACTGCCCACAGCCATTTTTCCAACCTTAAGAACAGATAAAAATATGGGTCAACAAAAAAAACTCCCTAGGTAGGAATCTTCACATTCCAAAGGATTCCATGTACCTACAAATTTAGTTGAATTATGTACTTTCAACTGACTCCTAGGATTTTAGGAATTTAGTAACATCTGAACAAGAGAATTAACTTCACCTGTTGAGCGTAGCTTAACTATGGCATGGTGAATAGGCACCAGCCCCAGGCCCTGACTACTGATGGGGTGCTGGAGTCACCCCCCACCCCCAACCCAAGGAATCTTTTTCCATGGAATGCACTATCCTGCAGGAGCCAGGCAGAGCAGCACTGCACCCAGCAATACCTGGGAGGTATGGGGTCAGCAGATTGGTTTTTCCCCCTCATTCTTGGGGCTCTTTGCCACAGCAGGTATACTCCTGTGCCCAGTAACATTTGGGGGTGCAGGGGGAGTGAATAGAGCACCAGGAACAGCACTCAGGGAGCCTAGCCATGGGGATGCTGCTGCCGGAGCTAATGTTGCTATAGTGCCACAGTCACCACCATCTTCATTGTGCAGAGAGCAGCAGCAGGTAAGGCTCACATACCCTCCATTCCTCCCCACAGCAACTTGCTCTCCAGGGGTCAGCATACCCCCTCCCACACCAATCCCAGGCAGTGAAGGACCTCTTTTCACCTCTGCTGCTGAGCATTTTGTAGCCATCACTGAAGTAGTGCATGAAAATAATGCATTTCAGCTTGCGGTAAAAAAACGGTGTCATACTGAAGCTCATGTGATGTTACTCGTACTTTCAGCATTTAATTCAGACACCATTATTATCAAGGTCAATGCTGTCCTCCAACCTACACACAAGAAAGCAGACATTTATCCTCTGCTATTTAGTCTCTGCTGAACCCACACATTTTTTTTCTTTTCTCATCTATCCAATCAAGTAGATTGATAGCTTAATTCAAAGTCCAAGTTATTCAAAACAATTGCTTTTTGTGAAGCAATGGATTCAAGTTGAGCCCTCTAGGCCATGGACAGGCATTTATAAGGCTAAATACATCCTGTATGGCTATAAAAAGGAGCAAATAGTCATCTGAGCTGTTTGTAATGCTACAAAGTGCAACAAACTTTAATCTCTTTCAAGGAGGAACTTCCCAGGGGGGCTACATGCTCTAGCACCGTATGTAATATCTGTACAGTTATACAGCTATAGGGGTCTCTAGGACTGCTAGCATCCCAGTCCTCCACTCACCCTCTGTTCCAAGGGAGAGGGAGGGAGAGAGGGTGATGGCTGGTTTCTGGATAGCCTGCCCAACCACAAACAGTAAGAGCCCTACTGGGGGCTCCCACTACATCTGCCACTTCAGAAGCTCCTGCAAGAGCTGGGACTCTTAAAGCAGCAGTGGCAATTCCTGCCCCAGGAACTGTGGGTCTGCCTGGTTTCATGGTCCAGCTGATCAGCAGAGCTGGACAGCAGGGGCTCTGAGCTGCCCCTACAGCCAACAGACCTGCAGGGGAGAGGACAAAGCGATCAGGCTCCCCAGGAAGCAGCCCTCTATCCTCCCTGATCAAAGCGCTCATCAATGGAGGTGACTCTTATCTTTCTAACCAGGGAACTGCAACATGTATGTTCCCAGTGCTATATTTTTGTAGTGCTAAAGAGTGCTGAGACATTTGCACCACCAAATTAATGCCTGTCTGTGCCCCTAGAAACAACAAAGACAAAAATGTTGGTTACCGAAGCCGACTGCTTAATGTTCCAGAAATTAAAAAAAAAACCTGAGCAGTTGGCTTCCTTTAATGCATACTTTCTTTAGCTAAAGACATTCTGGACTTTTTGTATTTCTGTATTATGATACATCACTAGCTTGACT